AGTTGGTATTTTTCGTGGCTCTAACCTCCTATGCATGTGTCTTCATCCCAAATTCCACATTTTTCCTACTATTTTACTAATCGCAATCCAAATACATGCCAACACAAATGACAGAATACCAATATTTGGGCCCCATTGCTTCACATCACATTAATTCTTCCCAAACCAAACCCAAGCCCAAGATTCCTTACAATAATCCAACACGATACCGTATACAATTGCAGCTTCGCCTTCCTCATTTCATTCCGTGAATAAACTTTTTGCTTTTGTTTGTGCATTTCATTCTAATTTGTGGTTAAACAAAGGTTAGAGCAATCATTTTGATAATTAATTATGTCTAATCAAATCATAATCTCATTCTGTGGACTTTTTCATTTTGTGAGAAGTAATAATCAAAGACAGGCTGGGTTTAGGACCTGCTCATGATTACTTATAAATTTGTTAAATTTGTTTAAGCCACATAGTTTATTTAATTTTTTTAGTATATAATTTCTTTAAAATAATTGTTTATAATATTTATTTATTTATTTTAATTTCTTAAATATTAAATATTAAATATTTTATTATTTTTCAATTATTCTTAATAAACAAAAATATAAATTTAGTAATGTGTGTGGGCCTTAACAAATTTGAGCTTGGTCATAATCACAGCAGGTGTCCCAACAGGTGGTTTTGATGTGAATCCATTTTATAATTGTTTCGTCTTTAAAAATAACATTAAATAATTTTTAGTGAATATTAGAAATACCGTACTCAAAATTAATTATACTCTCACATTTTTTACATTTTTTTTTATTTCTTTGCTTTTTTTCCATTCCCATGTTCCTCTTTGTTTTCGTTTTTTGTTTTTTGTTTTTTTTTTTTTAACATTGAGGAATTATTGGAGAATGTGAGATTTTGAAATGATTAGTAAAATTCAAACTTTTGATCAATTAAATCTAAATACTAAAAATTAAAAAGTAACCATTAAATCTAAAAGTTTCATTTCCATGTTCCTCTTCGTTTCAACAAAAAAGTAGTTGTTGGTTTTGATTTATTTGCAATGTGACGACCAAAATCTTGTTGGAGAAAATATTTATTTTTGGATTCCTCTCTATCCCTTGGAGAAGTTAGATACCATCTCACAATAATTTTTTTTTTTTTTTAAGTTTTACAGATAACTTTAGATAATATTTTTATGGGATTTAAGAATATAAATAAGTGTGTAATAAATACATCTTTTTATAATTAATATGTATAAAAAATTATAAAAATTACTTTAAATTTAATTAAATAACTAATTAAAACTGTTTATGTGATAATAATACCAAAATAAAAAATAATTTTATTGTTTTTTTATGTAAATTAAATATTAAAATATATATTTATTATATTTTAATCTATACCTTAAAGGTACAGATTAAACAAGTTGTATTTTTATAA